TGTGCTTCAAAGAACATCAAGAAAGTAAAAAGACAACCCACAGAATGGGAGCATATATTTGCAGATCATATATCTGACAAGGCATTTGTATCTAGTATATGTAAAGAACTCTTATACCCAACAGTAAAAAGACAACCCATTTTTTAAAACAGATAAAGGATTTGATTAGACATTTCTCCCCAAAAAAAGACATACAAATGACCAATAAGCACATGAAAAGATTCTCAACATCATTAGTCATTAGGAAAATGCAAATCAGAACCACAATGAAATACCTTCATACCCACTAGAATAGCTACAGTCAAAAAGACAGTAAAGACGTATTGGTGAAGAGGTAGAGAAATTGGGACCTTCAGACATTGGAAATGTAAAATGGTACAGCCCCTTGGGAAAACAGTTTGGCAGTTCCCCAAAAGGTTATACGTAGAGTTACCATGTGACCCATCAATTTCATTGCTAGATATGCCCAAGAGAAATGAAAACATATGTCCACACAAAAACCAACATTTTTCATAATAGCTAAAAAGTGGAAACAACCCAGATGACCATCAACCACTGAATAGATAAGCCAAATGTGGTATATCAATATGATGGAATACTATTCAGTCATAAAAAGGAATGAAGTACTGGTACATGCTGCAATATGAATAACCGTTGAAGTTGTCATTCCGTGTGAAAGAAGCCAGACACAAAAGGACACATATAATTCCATTTTTATGAAATGCCCAGAATAGGCAAATCCATAGTCAAAAAATAGATTAGTGGTTGCCAGGGGCTGGAGAGAAGGAGTAGGGATTGACTGCTAAAGGGTATGGGTTCCTTTTTGGGGTGATGAGAATGTTCTGAAATTAGTGGTGATGGTTGTACAACTTTATGAATATACTAAAAACTTTTAAATATACACTTTAATTTTTTTTTTTCTTTAAGGCTGTTTTTTTTTATTTCAGGTGAAGGTTTACAGAACAAATAGTTTCTCATGAAACAGTAGTACACATACTGTTTTATGACGTTGGTTAACAACCCCACGACATGTCAACCCTCTCCTTTCTCGACCTTTTTTTTGGCAGGGGGGACGGGGGGAAATATACACAGCCAAAGATACACCATTTCAAAAATTTTTACATGCACAGTTCAGTGACATCGACTACGCTATTCCTGTTGTGCTGCTATTCTCACTTTAGATGAAGGTTTACAGAACAAAATAATTTCTCATTAAACAGGACACATGTTGCCCTATGACAATGGTTAACAACCTCACAACACATCAACACTATCCTCACTCAACCTTGGGTTCCCTATCACCAGCTTTCCTGTCCCCTTCTGCCTTCTAGTCCTTGTCCCTGGACTGCTGTGCCTAAATATACACTTCAGTAGGGTGAATGTTACGTAAATTGTATCTCAGTAAAGCTATTATTAATAAATAAACCAGGTCCTTAGATGGTGCCGGGCTACCATCAGTCACCACCCTGACAGGGAACACAGCAGAGAGTCCCTGACAGAG